TTCTTTGTAATAAATCACAAATTTGTCTTTCTTCTCACTATCTTGCATGAGTAATAAGCACATATTAAGCCCAAGTACTCCATTCATTCCCCCTCCTTTTTTATTACATTCTATTTTGATTTATGGTAACATCTCCAGAAACTGGAAGACTCTTTTTGGCCTCCACTATTCTTTCTTTATTGATTGTCTGTAGATAAGAAATATTTGTGGACTCAATTTATGTACTTGACATTGATTCTTAGGTAATTTACTATTATTAAAAATAAATGACTAATATTTATTCCTATCTTACGATGATTTAGACCCTTATATAACATCTCATGTAATTATTACAACAACCCTATAAGCATTATCGTGAGCATTTTACAAATGAGGAGACTGAGTCTTAAAGTGTTCCAACTGCTTGTCCATGTTAACTTGTAATTTGAGGAGTTTTAATCCTGGGTCTTTTTTTAAAAAAAAAAATATGTGAATTTAACCATTGCATTCTAAAATTCATTTTTGCAAAGAAGATTTAGGGTCACTTCAAAAAAAAAAATGAAATCTGTTACATAGAATAGTCTTCTGATTTCTTTTAGCCCAATGCCCAACATGACCATTTAAAACAAAATCAGTCTCGATACCACTTTCGTATAATTTGATAATAACTTAAATAGGATGGCTCTTTTTTTCCAACAAAGAAGCAAATAGTGCATCCCCATGACAATTTATTTTGATTATATAGTTTATTATAAAAATCAGAATTGGTCTCCATTGGAAATCATTCTTTACAACTACACTAAACAGTGGCTCAGCACTAATTATGTGAAACTATAGTTCCTCTCTTTGGTAGAAATTTTCTGACACCCAAAGGCCTGTATTACATAATTGCATCAAAAAAGTCCATGAGTTCAGTTAATTTTGTAGTTCATTCTTCCTGTAGGGACATAGGAAAACCATGCTCTTTAGAATAAGATTATCCACAGGAGCCTTTACTGTGTTTTTAAAGACACTGATGGGAGATTACTACTCCTGCTTTGAACCATTTCCAGGTCTAAGTATTTGGTATAGAACTCCAGAGACTCCATGGAGTTTGTTCATGCACTAGAGAAGACCCAGAGCTGATTCCTGAAGTAGATTCTTTTTTTTTTTTTTTTCCAGCAGGGCTCAGATGGCCCATTTCCAGGCAGAGTTGATGTAATCTCCCATTTCCAGTGTGAATGACATTGCAACAAACATTTATTGAGCACATCCTTTGGCAGACATCATGCTAGTTTCTGGTTGAGCTCTTTCAATGCCCAAACTGCCATCTGCTCTCCTGATTACACAGCAGAAGGGTTCTTTATCAGCTAGTACTAGATAGTCCTAGCCTCTTGGTCCTCATCAGAGAGTGCAACCAGAGTACAACCTTCAATGGTTTGATCTTTGTTTTCCATCAAGTGTCCAGCTGAGAGAAGTGATAGGCAGAGGACATCATTTACATAGTATTCATCCTTCTAGTTATCTGTCATTCCATTATGAAATCACATCATCACGGTCTCTTGCATATCACAAAAGTGCATTTTGATACATTTGCTGGCTTGTTTTTCTTTTTTGAATCAGTAGTCATTAGAAGACATAACTGCTTAGAGTTTAATGCTATATTTGCTACAAAAAATGTTGAAGACATTAATGTAGTAAATACTTACAGATTGTCTATGGTGCACTGAATGAAAGTCATAGTTCCTATTATCACCACTGGGTTTGCTGTCTAGTGAGGCAAATGTGATGTGAGAATACTTACAGAGGAAGATATGATTGATTTTTGCTGGGATAGTAAAGGATTCTTTATTGAGAAGGTGACCTTTAAATTGAAATTGAAGGACATATAGGAGTTTTCCAAGAGACTGGGGAAAAGGATTGACAAAATTTCAGGCAAAGAAGGATGGAGCATGTACAAAGGTATAAAATCTCATGGAGTGACTTGGAGTGTCAGGAGAAGAAAAATTGAGGGTATCAGGCACTGATGATGTTAAAGGCAGTGTTGCAAAGATTGGTGCAATCAATAGTGAAGGCATTTATGGGCCAAAATGAGGTTTTGGGTTTTTACCATAGTCAGTAGAAGATACTCTAACAGGCACTGTGGGGTATGCCATAACACAGGGATAAATAAATGGCAGGAGGTAGTGAGAAGTAAAAAGAGTCTGGTTAGAGCTAGTAGGAGGGATGTAAACCTGTACTGGTGGGATTTAAGAGCCATTATTATTGTAGCTTTTTTTTGGAGACAAATTTTGGGGTTAATGAAAAAGCAAGAATATTATCTGTTAAATCAGCTAGTCTATCTGAAATAGTATGTAAGACATCATTTGACTACTATTCTAAGAAAAATCTGTCTTGTCTGTTAGATTATGAGAGTGGCTAACTGGATGGTAACTGCAGGCAGGTAGAATATGGCTATAGGTGGGTTTCAGGGGACATGTATTTGGAGTTTATATTTTGCCCTTGGACAGCAGAGCTCTCTCTATCTGCTTCCTGGTACCATGTCCTGAGCTGCTTTCCTCTGCCACACCATTCTACCATGATGTTCTGCCTTATCTCAGCCCCAGAGCAGTGGAGTCTGCCATCTATAGAGTGAAACCTCTCAAAAAGTGAATTTCAAATAAACTTTTCCTTCTCTAAGAAATTGTTCTTGTCAGGTCTTTTTGTCACAATGGCAAAAAAAAGTTCACTGAAAAAAGAGCAATCTATAATTTTTGCAGTTAGGCTAAGATCCTCATTTAACTGGAGTTGCTGTTAGGATCAGAGAGGGGATCTTCTGATTTTCTTTGTACCATTCCCAGAAATCTTGCATGTAGAATCACCAATGATAGGAAGTTAAGTTGGGGGAAGAGACATGAGACCCAGTAGGGAACAGGAGATTTTGCCTACTGTTACTGCTTCACATGTGGCACATAGACCAGAGGAGTGGTTCCAAGGAAGAGAGCCGAGGACATGGCCAGTAGAGATGTAGAGGTCATGTGAAGTAGCAGCACTGAGAGAGGAGAGTTCCTCCTATCAGCTGCCTCTTCTCTTACTGGGCAAATGTTTCCCAGCCTTGAGCACTTGATGTACTTCATGCCCTGTAGACACCAGGGTATGTTGAAGGACCATCATGCCTTTTTATACATTGCTTGATATGAGCAAAGCTTACATTTCTCCTTTGAGGTGGAATCTACTTCTTTATTAGTAATGCTGTTGAAATTATTTTGCTGAAACAGAGCAAATTTCATATATTTAAGAGCAAATGCTTTTCTTGGCATGTCACTGTAGTCTACATAGTAACAAAGGCAGAGTGTTTTGATGGAGAAGGGGGCGTAGAAACAGGCACATGGAAGTTCTGGCACATTCATTTTGTTTGAATTCATCCCTGTGAGTTTTCTTTCATTTACGAAAAATGAGGCATATATTCTTTTTACTGCCTTAGTTCCTGTACCAAATTCCACAGAGCCAGTCCCCCATTTTAGCTTAGCGAATTCTTAAAAGAAGTAGAATGTAGCAAAACTAAAATATTACCAGTTATTACTAAGTTTCAGACCTTGATGCTTTGTCATGGTGTTTCATTACCTTTGCTCTTATTTTGGCTGTGTCAGGTTTGTATTACTGTTAAGACTACCAACATATGAAAGAATATAATCTGCCTGGAAGAGCTATATATATTCTCTATAGCCCTGTATATTCATTTATAGTGTGTTTAATATATTGACCTGATATTTCTTATGGTGATTAAGATGACATGAGATATATAAACTAGTCTGAAGCTAAATGAAACCAAGGACTAGAGTCTCCTATGTAGCACTACAGAATTCCCTACTCTCAGAAATCTCACACAATCTTCCTGGCCTAAGCCAAGCCTTCTGTACCCTCAACAAGCAGATCTCCCTAACGCTTATCCCTTGGGTGCCATTTTTATTTCTGCATCTTTTATTTGGCATTTATTTTCCATTCTACATTGTGGGTTACTTTTTTGTATGTTTACATAAAAATATATAATAATTTCCTTAAGATCTAAGATCCTCTTTACATTTTAAAATGGATCTTTGTGTTTCCCACCATGCTGAGTAAAAATTGGAATCTGAACATATTTATAGTGTGATGGTATCCCTCTCTTCCTAGTTCATTAATGAAGAATGGATTCGACACCTACTCTGCTAAGCAATGCAGACACAATATAAAATTCCTGCTCTGTGGTTGTACATTGGGAAATGGAGTGGGAGAATATAAGACATTGGAAAAGAAAGAAACTGGAGTAGTTCAAAGGAACAGAGGAGTTTGTTGGAAAGTGAATGCATTGTCCCTTTTTTTTTTTTTTTTTTACTTTCATAGCAAAGTTTTAGAAATTAAAAGCAGCTCTGGAGCAAGTTCCTGGCTGTGTGTAAGTTCCCTGTAAATGTCTTCCTTTGGTAACCTTGGAATTATTATATCTCACTGACACTCAAATTCTACTAATAATAGAGTCTACTACATCAAATGAGGTGATATTTGGTGCCTGACTCACAATAATAATTATTATTGGTTATTATCATTATTTTCATTATTAGCTGTTATTTTTATATGCATGAGTCTAAGGAAGGTCATGTCCAAGACTGCCTGGAGTAGACACCAGGGTATCTTGAAGACCAGGGACCATCATGGGCAGAGATAACCCAAGGTTGGGAGTTTGTTCAAAGGCTTCCTTTCCCAGATGGCATAGTTGACTCCTTCTACTCGAACATCCCAAAGGGTATGCAGGATCCTGCCATTTCTGGACTTGTGACACTTGCAGCTGCCCGGAGATCAACCCCTGCTGCCAACTTTCTCTTTGCATATAGTAAGCCTTACTAGAGGGGTGAAAATTTGAGAATAAAGAAAAACTTCTTTGGGGCCTTCTGGTTTGAAATTTACTCAGATCTGAAGAGAAGAATCATGTTTATTGTTTTGTGAGTTAAACTTTCCTGGCTAGAACTTTGTTTTCTCAAATACTAACACCATGGATTTTCTTTCCCCCCACCCTTTCTTGTTAATAGGGTGCTGAGAAAATTTTGTCAATGAATGAATCAGGAGAACTGCAAGATCTCTTAACCAAAATCGAGGTAATTGTGCTTTTAGCAACTTATTTTTAGTAATCCAAATGTTAAGCACATTCGATTGTAATTCGGTTTTCCTAATTGAATTTCCCCCTATGTTGTTACAAACATGTAACAGGATACATGTGATGATTTTAATTGAATATCACATGCCATTAGGTTTGCTCCAGCTAAAGTGACTTTAGTACTAGGGTTGAATAATCTCATACTATTACTTGAAAATTTGGGTCTGCTTTATTTGAGCCTAATTCTCTGTAGCAGAGATATTGATGAGGTGTTTCAAGTCTGGCATTTGTGTTAAAACACACTTTAAAGTTTTGTTAAAACTTTTATTTTCCCCATGAACTAGCTCATCATTTCTAAAGATGAAAGAAAAAAGTTATTTCTCTCAAAACCACATTTTAATTCCCCCCCATACTTCTAATGAAAACATCAGAGAAATACTATTCAAATACATAATGCATCAGATTAATATGCAACCAGGGAACCCTTTTCACTTCTCTGATAAATTATTGTGTTATCCTGTTTCTTCCTATATGTAAAAAAGATTACATTCATTATCATGCAGATTGGGACCTTTTGAGAATGAATGTCCCTTTTCTGGGACAGCAAACATGAAACATTGCTTTCCTGGATGAACTAGGCTGGTCTATGATTACCCAGTATCTCCATGCCATTATCTCCTCTTTTAGTCTTAACATCCTTTGCTATCCTTATTTCTGATGCTTTGCCAAATCTTTCATTTCAGTCAAAACAAGTATTTATATTGTGATCTTCCCTAGAAGGAAAACACACTGTATTCATTCATTCGACAAATATTCGGAGTATCTACTATTTATTGGCATGTTGCTAAGGGACATAATTGTGCCCTGTCAAAGAACTGGTTGCATAGAGCAATAACTCAGAAAAGTTTTGTACTAATTTATGTCATAATACAATAGCATTGCATTTAGATACTATGCTTCAATAAAGATGATAGAGAGAAAATATCTGGGAGGAAAGGTCCCTGGATATAGGAAGGCAATGTACCATGATCTGATTAGTAAATTAAAAAAACCATAGGGTATTTTCAGAAAGCTGACCTTGTGTAAGAGTGGTTTAAATTCCCTTGGTTTGCACAATTTATAACTTGTGAAGTAGTATGTCTTGCAAATCAGAGGATATTAACTCTAACCTCAGCTCCACTGATAGCTATGTGACTTTGGGCATATTTTTTCATCTCGCAGAATCTTGGTTCCTTTATCTATTAGATGAGGGTGTGTACCTCTTGATCATTAATATGGATTAAATAAATCATTAATATGGATTAAATAAATCCATTCCATTTGTCCCCATATGCAACTCCAATCCTATGACACCATTAAGTTAGTGTGTATCCAATCATTTAACTTGGTTATTTTGTATTATTATTATCTCTGCATACTTTAAATTTATATAAATGGCATTATATAATATACCTAATTTGGTTTTAAAGTATTCTCACTAGGTACCTATGCTTTTCACAACCATCTACATTGCTATGTGAGCCTTTAATCTACTCATTTTAACTGCTGCATGCTTCTCCATAGCAGCCATAAACAATAGAGTTTCTTTGATGATATGAATATCTTTTATTTTTAGTGTTCAAAATAGTAATCTCTAGCTGCTAATGGCTATTGAGCTATGGCTAGTATAACAGAGGAACTGGATTTTAATTTAATTTGATTTGATCTAAATCAAAATTTAAATTCACACCTAGCTAGTTCTTGTTTTAGACAGTGTAGCTCCACAGTGCCCACATATTTTTATCTATCTTCCCACTTTTCCACTGATGAACACCCAGGTTTCCTCTCATTCCCTCCTTCAAACAAACAGCACTGCAAGAAACAACAGTGAATGTGTTCCTTTATGGGTTTCCCAGGAGTAGAAATGGCTGGAGCCTTGCTTGTGTGTGTGCCTAATTCTAGATGGTGCCAGATGGCTTTTTGGAATGGTTGCATCAGTCAATATTTCCTCCTATAAACAAAGAGATTTCTTGTGTTTCTATATTCCTGGAAATATTTCATATTACCATTTTCTAAAAATTTTCCAGAGTAGAAGCTATAGAACTATATAACCTTATTGTTTTAAATTATGCATTGCTGATTACTATTGAGTTTGGGCATCTCATTGTATGTTTGTCAGATTTTTACATTTTTTTCTTATGTAAATTCTGTATTTTTATACTTTTCCAATTAAAATCACAGAATTATATTTTTTGGGAGATTTGATTTTTCAGAAGATTCTTTTCTAATCTAGATATTAATTCTAGTTGTTTTAGTCATTGACATAATATCCTTTTTTGTTTTAGTCATTGACATAATATCCTTTCTTTCATGTGTACTTTATCCAAAAGAAATCTTCTAATAAGATAATAAAATCTACCATTTTTCCTTATGTTTTGTGCCTCTGAACTTTAATTTAGTTCTTCATCTGAGAATTCCAAAGATATTATCCTCTATTTTCTTTTATTAGCTTTGTACTGTTTTTTTTTAATATCTAATTCTTTAATTTATATTCTACTTCTATTTTTTAATTATGGTGAACTAGCTTCCTAACACCATTTACTGAATAATCTATTATTTCTTTATTGCTTTGTTGTGCCCACTTTACATTATAATGAATCTCCTCATGTACTTGGGTCTTTGAGCTTTCTAGTCAATTCAATTGATTTGTTTGTTTCTTATTACACCAATATAATACTGTTTTTATTTCCATTGTTTAATAGCGATTTTTTAGGGTCTTGATAACTGACTTAGATATCCTTTATTTTTCTTCTTTTGAGTCCATAATTCTTGAATTCTGCAATTTAACACCACCATTTTAGATCAATAGAACCATTCTCTCTCTCTCTCTCAGCTTAAAATACTTTGGAAAACAGTGAAAGTTTCTCTGGGAAGCTGAGTGGATAAGACTTGTTGATAAAGGTTGACAGCATCCTCCCAGGTGAGAAACTGGCCAAATGGCGCAGATGCATGTGGAACAGAAGGTCGTAAATATGAAGACCAAGTTTCATACAGCTGTTTGTAGCAATGGGGTTCTGCTCCTAAGGTGACAATTTGTAAGTCATCCTTCTAATAGAATATGAGCTCCAGTGGATACAAACTCTTATCTTTCTTATTCTTTCCTTTCCTGCTGGTGCCTAGAACATGGATGGGCATATAGTGGGCACTCAAACATTTGTTGAGTGAATAAATTAATGATTCCTGTTTCATTGAAGGATTTTGAATGAGGTAAAGCAGTTAAGAGATGAAAATCAAAATTATTATTTTATATAGGAAAATGCTTGGATGAAAAGAGTATTTTTAGTAGAATTTATTAATTTATATATTTATGTAATTTATTTATATTAATAAAAAGGCTATAGGTTAGAAGCCAAAGGTATCTAAGGATTCCTCCAAATGACAACCAAGACATGCAGAGAGAACCCGGGGAGCTCAGAGATGTATTAGCATACCACTGATTCTGGCAGACACTCGGTTCAAGATCTTAGATGGCAAAGCAGCTCTGAGTAAGCTTTTGCCTGGCTTTCTTTATTTTTGAAAATATGAACAAAAGCTTTACTGTCATCTCTGCTGAGCTTGCCAACATTGTATCCATTTTCTGCCCTTAATTTCTTAAAAAGCTTAAAATGGTTACCTAGTCTGATTCCCCCCAGGGGGTTGGTGACCAGTTATTTGTTGTTCATTAAAAACAGAGTTTTTAATTTTAATTAAATATAAAATATAAAATTTTAATTAAATATAATATATTTATATAAAATATAAATATTTTATATTTAATATTTATAACCTGATTCCCAGCTATGCAGCGAGATGCTGGAAATGGCACAGACCGTGTGACAAGGCATTGGAGCTGTCAAAGACTGTCCTGAGCCCCCCTGCAGAGGATGGCCCCTCTTAGGGAGCAGACTCAGCAAGTTCAGAGGCCATGGCAGCAGATCCCCACTTTCTCACTTGGGCAATCAGGTGATGTCATCTGCTTCCCACTGAAAACTGATAACCTATTAAGCAGATTTATAGCACTCCATCCCATTGGGCTACAGAATTAGGCTCCTATATTCAGGTATAAACATTGAGAATTATAAATACAAATTTCCCGTGTCTGCATTTCGTGCAGTGGCTTTCCCTCCCAACTTTAAACTAAGAGTGCTGGAAACACTGTTGATTAGGAAAGATTCTGTTTAATCTTTTTAACAGCGTGGTCCAGCAGTGAGGTGTTTTAATAGGCAATTAAAAAGCATTTGCTAAATTAAATTGTCGTATCTAGGTACAGAGAGAGATGATTATATCTCAAGTGTGTGCTTGTCGATAATTTGTTACATGAATAGATCTACTTATAGACAATCTGGATGATGAGGTTTGTTGTCACAGGGACACAAATAAATAACCTTCTCTTTGGTAGGTGTTTAAGGTACTTTCATACTCTACTAGAATAGGATTGGATGATCTGAGGTTAAAAAAATATTTATTTTTTAACCTGATTAATATTTTATATTTAATATTTATAACCTGATTAATAACCTGATTAATATTAATATTTAATATTCCCTGATCTTGAAGATGACACAAAGGCTCTTGATTTTGGTATCTTATTTCTATATTAGAGGACCTGGGATCAACTCTCTCTATTCTCCAAATATGAGTTTGTACCACAAAGTTGACAATCATTCATGCACTCCACCCTTGAGTCCTGGTCCCTTGGGTCTTTTGCTGTACATCTGAAATTTCTGTAAGCTTCAATTTAAGTGACTGGAATGAATCTATTCAAAGATCTAAGGATAGAGCTGAGAGGTCCTCTTAGGGGAACAAGGAAGTTTCTAGTTCATTGCTGTAAACACCAATGCCTATGTAGTTCTTGGCTAGTGGACACTAGGTAAGTATTTGTGAAATAAATTAATAAGTAAAAATATCTCACCTAGTAAGTTCTTTAAAAATGCCCTTCACCAGAAATACATGAACAAAAAGAGGAAAAGGGGAAAGATGATTTCATACTCCCCTTTCCTTAAAATTTCATTACAAAGAGACATGCCTCAATCTAAACCACTATTTAGCAGAGGAACATTCTGTGATTGAGAACTCCAACGATGTCTGTTCTCAACCAGGTCTGCATGGCTTCTCATTTGGCTGGCAACTAGGGCACTGAAGAGCTGCCTTAGATTCCTGAATTGCTAGAGGGTCAAAGTGTTTGTTGTTATCCTCTTCATTGAAAGTGGAAGTCTGCTTTGTTACTAACAGTTATGACTATATTGTTAACCTCAGTCATTTCTCCATCTTTTAACCTGAAACATTGTCCACATTCTTTGGAAATTTCCTAGCTTTTTTTTTTCTTTTGCATTGTTCTGTAAAGAAAAAAAAACTGAAGTCTTGGACTTTGGGTGAGTCAGGAGGATCTATTTTAAGCAAGTTCTTTGTAGAGAGTACTTTAAATTGGAATGAGAATTTCAGTTTTACAAAAGTGTTCTTTGAAGGAGGTAGCTAGGAATGACTGACCTACTTATTTTTGTTAGAAGAACCACTGCTTTAGATTGTGTGGGATGATGTAACAATAATAAGATTCCTGAAGACTGATAGAGCAAGTAAGAGCCATAGTGGGTGCCCTCAAGACCCTCCTTTTGCTCCACATTCTGTGTTAGTCACCGTATTTATTCTTCTAATTATTTTACACTTGGGGACCTCATGTATGTATCATTTGAGCCAACAAACAAACAAACAAACAAAAAATAATTATGCCAATGGCTCAGCTCAGTAGTAGTAGCCCCTGCCTAGCATGCATGAGGCCCTGGGATGGATCCCAAGCACTGCAGAACAAGCAAATCAATAAATAAAAATCAGCACACTACAGAAGAAAGCCCATGGATTTTGCTCATGAAGAGAACACTCCAGTTCTTATCTTCTAGTGGTGACCTGAATTTTTTTCCCCCATTAAGAGGCTTTGTTTTTCTCTTTGTAATATGGCAGTATCTATCATATGGGGTTGGTGTGAGAATGTGTGTAGGCAATGCGTGTTTAAGGTACTTTCATACTGAAAGTACCTTTCATACTTTCATCCTGAGCTGGCTAAGCTGTCCCTTTTCTCTCCCACATGTATGGTTGAAACAGCCAGGTTTTCTGGAGAATGGAAATGGTCTCTGGATCTTTCCAGCACTGCCTTAAACATCATAATTAGCACTGGACTGAAGCACATTTGCTCACCCTTCATTATAGTGGCAAGACCTTAAGTCAGAAGGTTAATTATAGAACATGGGTTTGATAAAATGAGTCTAAATAATAGAAAAATTGCTTGTGGTTATGTTGTGATCATAAGCAATTTAGTAGTTAATCAATATCCCTTCAAATAAGGATTTATTAATGAAACACTTGCTAATAATGAGTAAACTTGTTGAATGCCTACTATGCGCCAGGTGATATTCTATTCATCGTATGTGAATTAATCCTGACTCTTCTCACCAACCCTTTGAGTAGGACAGACTGTATCATAGAATTGCTTCAATTTTGAGGACACTATTCTAAGATGGCTTTGATATATTTATGATTCCCTTTAAGAATGAAAATGACCTTTCAGTATTGATATGCTAATTTTATTTTAGGAAAGGTATTGTTATGACTTAATATACATCATTAAGAAACAGTAGACTCTTGGTATTAGTGGATTTAACATTTGATATTTGTGGTTTTTGAAAGTAAGCATTGTAAGTCATACTGACGGCCCATGGTGTAAAAAATAAATAATTTTTTTTGAGTTACCATTTTAAATTCTGTTTGCCAATAGTTTGGTGTCTATAGTGAGTGATGTAGGTAGAGAATGAGCCTAGGAAGCTACCTAATGCATATCATTTCAGCTTTTCTATTCTTTGCTTTTCATTCCACATATAGGTTGTGGGAAAACCGTATGCAATTCAAAAATTTGATCATTTGCATGTGTCTTGGGAAATAGCAGGATTGATATTCAGTTAGTGTACATCCACACAGCTATACTGGTTATTAAAAAAATTGAAACATGCCTTGAGTGGTTTTGAAGATACTGAAATAATTTTTATTGATTGAAAAGTAGCTGCTGCACAAACAACTCTCCTTTGCCTGATATCCTGTCTTCTACAGGGTTGCCAGGTAAAATACAGGATGCCCATTTATATTTAAATGTCAGGTAAATGATCAATAATTTTATAGTTTATGTTCAACAGAATATATAATTATACAAACATTATTTCTGAAATTCAAATTTAACTTAGCATTCTGTATTTTTATTTGCAATTTGGACCACCTATTTTCCTAGGGCACTATTTATGATTCAGCAGTAATAAATGAGATTCTGGACTCAGGGGCCTTAACATCCTTGCTACACTTCTAGGTAGTCTCCACATCTGTTCTGTGTAGTTGGTGCCTTTGTTGTAGAAGTCATAACCATTTTTAATGTAATCTCTCTTTCTAACTTTAATTATGTCAAGGATATCTCATAATCTCTCTAAAATTGGACAAGAACAACATTACTTACTAATTCTCTTATATTTGCTTTTAAAATAGGTTCTTTTTATTATTGCTAGATTTGCTTTTACTCCAGATATTTTTCTAAAGACTTTTTAGTATTATAAAAATTATAACTTCAGTGTACCTTTCTTGGTGTCAATTCTTATACCAAGCAATGACAAAAAACCATTTAAAAAATAACCAAATTGCTACATTCGCTCAATTCAACTTGTTGGAAGACCTCTAAATCATTACAATCTTGACAAAGTTCCTTGTTTGTGTCATTCAGATTGGCAACCACTACTTTCCAAGAAAGTAATTCTGTGCTGTTAAAAACGAGCTATTTCATGGGTTTTGCCATCTTAATATGATAGCTAAGCCAAACTGTAATGGTAACTGAATCTTGCCACATACAGAAAATGTACATCCGAAAAATAGTCTGGAAATATATAAATTTTAAGTCAATCATGTTCTTAATGTTTGTTTTCAAAGTATGTTTCCCAAGCTACTTATTATGAGAGAGTTATATTTATTTCCATGGAAAAAGTTGTATGTGTTAGAGAAATGTTTGGTTAAATACAGGAAAACAGGTTCCTTTTAAGATGGATTTTTGGAGACTTTAAGATATGAGATTTTTAACCTCTAAAGAAAAGCTGTGTGCATGTGCAAGTGTGTTTAGCATGTTTCTCTGAGTATGTCTTTGGATGTATTCCTACATTTGCCAACCTTGTTTTAGTAATTATTTTCTTTACAAAGCCAAGCTTTCAAATATTGATGCAGTTTCCCATTTTACAAGTCAGAAACTGACCATCCATTCACTCTTTTCTCTTGCTATTTACCCTGTTATGGTTCCTAATGTCCCCCACCTGACAGAGACCATTAATAGACTCTGACAAAGGTTACGTGCTCAGAAAAGCAAAGAGAAATACATGTGAATGATTTTCAAAATATTATCATCAATGTGATGCCTAATGATTTTTCATTCTACTATTAGGATTCTTGAAGTTTGCTTGAGATAGAAACACTGGTTGCTACTGTGGGACATTTTATAAATGCACTTAAGATTTCTAAGCTTGTCCCTTAAGTATAAAATGAGGATAATGATGCTTGAATTATGTTTTTATTGAAGAAGATGACTATATATGTGGAAGATGGATTGGGGGAAGATTCTACATAATAAAGCATTTTAAAGTGCTTTGAAAAGAATAAAGCATTGTTCAAACTGGCAATGTAAAGATGGATATCATTGTTAGAGGCTCTTCCACTTTTTAGCTTATAGTTTCCTGATTTTCCAAATTCACTATTAGAGGTACTATTCTATAAACAAAGACATAAAGCTGTTAAAAAATACTAAAGGGAAAGTTAAAGTATTTTCTTTGTTGGAAAAGTAAAAGTAGTTTCTTTTAATGCAAATATCTAGCGCCTCAATTACATCATGTGTAAAAAAATATATATATTCCTAGGATGAAACTCTGGAAGGTGTATATGTTAAATCTACAACTTACCAGCCTTTATAAGCCATGTCTGTGCTGTCAATGGGGTAATGAAGGAAGACTCCGCTAATTTCCTCCCATGGCTTGTGTATATTAATGACAGGTCATTTCAAATTCACAGCCATGTTATATTGTGCCAATGTCACTTTACAGTCTCTCAAAAGACAGAAAGATGGGAAGGCTAATTGAGTTGTTCATGCTAACAGACTTTCTATTCTCTCTTGTCCCATTGTCCCCTACACAGAGAGTGCAGCATCCACATGAGTGTGGCTCCTGTGGAGGCTTCGGTTTTCTTCCATGCTCCGTGTGCCATGGGAGCAAGATGTCAGTATTTCGAAATTGCTTTACAGACTCTTTCAAAGCCCTGAAGTGTACAGCTTGCAACGAGAATGGTCTTCAGCGTTGTAAGAATTGTGCTGCTTAGTGTGAGCTTCTGCCCAGGGAAAGACGACTCATTTTAGTAACTGAAAGTCATCATTTGATTTATATTTTTTTTTAAAGAAAGCCATGTTTTTGGATTAATCAATAAAGTTTGTATATTACAATTGCCTTTGTTTTGAATTTTTTCTGTGATTGATTTTGTTGATTTGTTAAAAAAAAATATTTGTTTAATAATTAGTTTGTGCTAAGACCTGTGCTAGACCTTAGTTTCTAAGTGGCATTAAGAGAGTATGCAATACCATTCCAAGATACCCAGTCTGGTTTGCTAAATGTGTTTCATTTTCTAAAGAAAAGACACAATGTAGCTAATGGTGCCTATTGTGACCCTATTGTCTGGGATGAGTTAGTGTAACTCCCTAGATGCACAACACATTTGTAGGCATGCTTTAGCACCAGGATAGAAGAGAGCCCTGGAGAGTGGAGAATATTCTCATAATTATATTTAAGCTTAGACTTTTTAAAGTAGAATAATCTTGTAGTAGAGATCTCTTTAGATGTGCAGTTTTAAAAAATTGTATTATGTTTTCTTTCTTTTTTAAAAAATAATTTAACCTTTATTTATTTGTTGATTTGTTTTTATGTGGTGCTGAAGATGGAACCTAGGCAGGCGCTCTGCCACTGAGTCACAACCCCAGCCCCTGTATTGTGTTTTCAAAGGACAAATATATCATCTGTTGACAGAACAGCACTTAAAACATACAAGTACAGATACGACAAAATGAAGCAAACTCCAGTCATGAGACACTACTTACATCATGTGAAAGCAGTGGTCCAATCTCTGAGTTATGAAACCTAGAATCAGAAAGTCTTTACACAGAAAAGTTCCCAGTTTCTAGTGGAAAAACTTAGATGCAGTTACATGAAACATTTAATACCAATTTTTATGCCAATATGTGAACAAAAAGATGACTAAATCTGTGCCTGGCCATTTCAATTCAACTCTGAAGTACACAAAACATACAGACTCCTTGTACATGTCACTTGTTAATTAACCATGTTTTTCCTTAGTTGGTGGGAGGAAAGGCACTGTGATTATGCAGAACCAAGATGTGGGAAGTAGAAATATTGTACACTAGACATTATAAAGTCATGGTAAAATCAAAGCCACAATTAATGCATAGCTTTAGGGGAAAGACCATTGGTGTGGATGATCATAAAGGTACATCACAAATGTTATCAGAGTTTTTGGTGATGCTATGAAAGCTGACAGAAGATTTTTTTTTTTTATAAATCAAAAGCACCACTGTGACAGGCTCAAGGTTTCTGGGGTTTTTTTTTTTAAGATTTTTTTCACCTACTTTTATTCTATTTATTTATTTTTATGTGGTGCTGAGGATCAAACTCAGGGCCTCACATGTGCTAGGCAAGAGCTCTACCACTGAGTTGGAGCCCCAGCCCCAAGGTTTCTGTTTTAATGGAGCTTGTATTCTAATTAGAAAGTAAGTATTCAACAAATAAATATAAGCAGATGAGTCTTATAAATATCACAAAAGCAGCACATCAGGCTTTGGGAATGTAGAACAGGAGGATCAACAAATATGATTTAGAAAATGGTTAGAAGAGACCTTGTTGAACAATTGATATAACGGTAATTGGAAACTAATTAGTCAGAGAGCAAGGGATAGTGCTTTAGTTGAAGAAATAGCATACGTGGAGCCTGTGCTCAGAGAAAAAGTGTGTGAATTGTATGAGAAATTCAATACAAGGGTGACAGGTTCCTAATAGTAAAGAAGATGCTAGCAGCCTGGGTCTCCTGATAATAACACGTGTATACTCCAAACAATAATGAAAAATAAACCCAACCATTGAAGGCCTGGAAAGCAATTAGGAGCAGAAAGGAACAGAAGGGGATTCAGGCACTGAATAAAGGGAATCAAAAAGAACCCCACGTTAATCTAGCTTTTCCTCTGAAAGCACTCCCTAGATTGCACAGAACATAGTTCATGAGGATGGCACCATCTAAATGGGTTGAAGAAAGATCTAAAGGTTAGAGACTGGAGCTGCCACAATGTTTGGAATTGAATGGACAGTTCCAAACAACAAGGGCATCAAAAAGAAGAGAGCCCCAAATCCGCTCATTAATTCAATAACTATTAAGACATTAACTGTGGTTAATTTGAATTCAAATACCCTCATAAAAAGGCATGTAAAAATGTAAATGGAAACCAGAGCTAAAAGAAAATATGTACACTGTAAATATCTGTACAAAACTAAAAGCTAGAATATATAAATAATCCTGAAAAATTAAAAAAGACAATCTAATAGAGAATGGACAGACAACAGACAATCCACAAAGGAAGACATGAATGGTCAAATCCTTAAAAAAATATGACATTATTATTCATCAGAGGAATGAAAAGTAAAGTCACAATTGGATTGTAGGACATATGCTGCAGTCTGGCTGGGCACAAGATCACGAGCCACTCACAGCTTTGTAGATTCAAACAGCAATTCTTTATTCCTGAACTCACACCGGCCCTCTACAAACACGTTCTGGGGAAATCCAAGTTCTGGGCCCGCCAATTCATGTACTGGGCTTTTTATCCCTATTCCCAGCAGGAATAACCTTAAACCAGGAACTKCCCTAAACCCAGATTGTCTTAAACCGGGAACGCCCTAAACCCAAGGAGCGATATACTTCCTAAAACCTGCAGGATACACCCTAAACCTGGATCCACCCTGGTCCTTGAGCAGGGTCACCTTTCTCAAACACACATGCAATGTCACAGCGAATTTCCAAGGCAAGTCCATTTAACATGGGGTACGCTGGCAAGGAAATTTCGATGCGTCATTCCTACTTGGCAATGGCCCTCAGCAGACATAAGACTACCATCATATTTATAATGTATAGAATTAAAACATCCCAAAATACCAAGTGTTGCCGTGGATGTAAAGCAACTGGAATTCTCATACATTGCTAAAGGAAATGCCAAATGGAAACACCATATAGGAAAACCATTGACCAGTTTTTAATAAATATACACTAATTAGATGCCAAACAATGATGCCCTTTGTTATTTACCCTAGAAAAAGGAAAACATATTTTCACAGTGTATAAGAATTTTGTAGAAGCTACATTGATAATAGCTAAAAAGTAGGAGTTATCTCAGAAATTCATCAGTGGGACAATTGATAAGAAATTTGTGGTATGTTTATACAGAGGCATGGGACCTGGTAATAAAGGAACAAAATACTGATCCTGGAAATAACATGGATGAATCTCAAAAACATTACATTGAATAAACTAAGCCAAACATGAAGGGTGTGAACTACACATACTATACTAATTAGGTGAAGTTAGAGAATAGGTGAAATTAATCTGTAGAATTATTGTCCACAAGTTGGGAGGAGGGGAAGAAATTAAATGTAATTAGAACTAAGTGGAATAAGATGGGGCTAGTTGAGAGTTGATTTCTTCTATCATAAAAGAAGGGAAGTGCTTTGTATCAACAGATTTCATCTCTCTTGCAACCTGATGTGAGACTCCAGTAAGTATTAAGTAGGGCTTATCTAGAATTTTTTTTTTTCAGGATCTCACTCTGTGTCTGAGAATTCAACCAACTTTCTGTGTTCTTCTGGTCTGAGGTCTCATCAGGATGGAGAAATGGGAGAGCACGAGGGCATCTAATTTTCAGGTGCTGTCTTGAACTATAGACTCTGAGGACAAAGCTAACTGACTCTCAGTTGTGCTCCTAAGAAATTTATTCTCTTTTTTCCATCTTATTATTTTTTGGCATGTATTGGCATGGGTGTAAAATGTGATGTTTTCTGCTGATTATTATAGACTTCTAAAGAGAATATTATGAAAGACAAACTAAAAAAGTCAAGACATGGGGTAGAATCTCAAGAGTTAAAAAAGTAATAGGATCAGGATGAACTTAAAGTAGGTGATGTTTAAACATAAATTTATGTACCTTTCTGAGAGAATTTGATTTAGACAATTCACATCCATCTGTTTCAGTTTTACAACAAATAAATAGGAGAAAATTATACCTGGTATATTTGCCCTTTATTGTCAGTGTGCAGGATTAATTAAAATATACAAAGAAGTACCTAAAACAAGGATAATGCAGAGGCATATAATTATTTCATAAATAAAAAAAATTATGCATTAGCAATGTATTTTTTATTGTCCAGAGAGGGGAAAGAACTAACATTCACATAACACCTTCTAATTTCTAATATTAATTTGCTATTTCCACAGAGTCCATGTGAGCTTCCTTTACTTCTTGTACAAAGTGGAAAATCAGTGGAGCAAACAACAAACTGGCTCAAAGAAGAACATTTAAAAAGCAAAAGAGTTGGAATGAAAAGAAAGTCTGTCCTGTGTCCCTGACTCTTAAACCCCATCATACCTCTTGGCAACTCTTAAAACCTCACACATTACTGTTGGGTGAGAGTTTAAAGCCAGTCTCAGCAAAGGTAAGGTGCTAAACAACTTAGTGAGACCCTGTCTCTAAATAAAATACAAAAATAGGGCTGGGGATATGGCTCAGTGGCTGAGTGCCCCACAGTTCAATTCCTGGTAACACCAACCCCACCCCACCCCACCCCCCAAAAAATAAATAAATAAATAAAAAATAAAAAAACAACCTCATGCATTCCTCTCCCTGATCTCAGAAGTCAGGTGATGCTGGTTGTTGGCAAAGGATACACAGTAATGAGATCAGGACTGGACTTGGTCCATTAATTTAAAAAAAAAAAAGATTAATGGAGGAATCTTTAAAAATGACCTAATATATTTAGCTACATTTTTATTTTCAGTATTTTTGTCATTCCAAGTTTTTTTTTAAAGCTAAATTATTGGCTTATTGATTAGAGTTTTGTCTGGGCTTTCATAAACAAACATCACACATAATAAAGAAGCCAACCTGGCTTTCTTCAAAATGGAGTGAAAATTAAAAGGCTCTTTACCAAGCAATCTGAATGTAATACTGTTTTAGATTTTTGTGATCATTTCTTCTGAACTTTTCTAGTTTCCTCAACCACAATTAATTTTGACAGTACATTTTTCTTAGTACCTGACTTTATAAAGTCATTCCTGAGGCATTAATCTTAGGTTTCAAAGAATAAACAGCATTCTTTCTGTTAATTGTATTTA